CCCCCCAAGCTCCAATAGCACAGAGCTCGGCCAGGCCTGGTCTCACGTGCTCGTGGCGGCCGTGGCACCGATGCCCAGGGACATGGGCTTGAGTGTGGGGTGTATAGTGCCAGGCTGTAATGGGCCCTCTTCCCTTGCACTGTTGTCCCCACCACAGCCATGACAACCTGCTCTGCCTGGACGGAGGGGGTGTGAAAGGCCTGGTCATCATCCAGCTCCTCATAGCCATAGAGAAGGCCTCGGGCGTCGCCACCAAGGACCTCTTTGACTGGGTGGCTGGCACCAGCACGGGAGGCATCCTGGCCCTGGCCATTCTGCACGGTGAGGGCAGCTTCCTGGATGGCAGGAGCAGGGTGGGTGGGTGTCAACACCTGCAAACTTCTGGGTAGGCTTCGTCTTGACTCAGCTGACAGCCCCTTCACGGGCCTGTGTGGGCTGCGGGGGCCTCCCAGAGCAGCCTCTGGCCCCACCCAGGCAGGAACTGGCCTCGGCTCGGCATCCCTGCCTGTGACCCCGTCACATTCCATACTCTCCAAGCACCCTCCAGGTCTGAAGGCACCAGGAGAGAACCCTTCCGCACCCGGGGCATCCGGGCCAGGCCTGTGCAAGGTGCTAGGGACACGGGGCTGAGTCAGACACATGCCCCGCCCAGGGAGCCCCAGTCTGATGGGGGTGGCAAGGCATCTGGGTGTTAACCGAGGGAGGAGGCCACGGCCCAGCAGTTCAGGGTGTGCGGGGACGTGGGCACAGGAGGCAGCTGAGAGTGGCATCCCTGGGGCTCTGGGGAGAGGAGGATCATCAATTGGCAAGTTGCTGGGTTTTGCCATCCCAACAGTTTACTGCCTAGTATTTCACATTGTATTCATGATTGTCACCATAGCCTTGTGAGGTTACAACTGGGGAAACCGAGGACCAGAGAGGGTTACCCAGTGAGTCAGGCAGAGCCAGGCCTGGGTCTCCATCGGCACGCCTGCCGTCTGCCCTGGCTCCAGCTCCCATGTCCCCTGTGCTCTCCAGTTCCTGCCTTCCGTCTGGTGAGACGCGCTGGGCACTTTCAATATCCTGCGAGGTGCAACCTGCCCCTTTGACCCTGTCTTTGGAGGCTCAGAGGACAGGGCTGGTACTTCTAATCTGTGACAAACAGTAGATCCAGATTTACAAGCTCAGACACTTTCAGAGCCATTGTTAAGGAAAATAATACAAAATTATGAATACAATAAGTCAAGTACGGAGCCTTGGGCTGCTGAAGGGGACATCTGCCTGGTTGGGGAGGTGCCAGGAGCCCTGACTTGGTCAGTGCCTGGGCAGAGCTGCCCCTCACCTGCCACTTCCAGCCACTGCTGGCTTCCCCCCAGCCTGTGCTCAGGCCGTGCCTCTTCCTACCTCCGACTGCTTGTTCCTAGGCAAGTCCATGGTCTACATGCGTGGCGTGTACTTTCGCATGAAGGACGAAGTCTTCCATGGCTCGCGGCCCTACGAGTCAGGGCCCCTGGAGGAGTTCCTGAAGCGGGAGTTTGGGGAGCACACCAAAATGACAGACGTCAAGAAGCCCAAGTAAGCCTGCTCAGCAGGGCACTGGGACAGAGGCCTCCTGTCCTGGTCTGATTAAAGTTGAGGGGGGCGGGGAGCAGCTTCTTCCCATGGAAACGAGGGGCTTCTGGAGAACACGACAGAAAACACCTTCCACCCATATCTGATGTTTTTCCACCCAAATAGCACGTCCTAGGTTCAGAGGGGCTCGGTTCTTGTCTGGCACACATCCAGGACTCCTGTGCTGAGCACGGCTGTGTCCCAGGCTCTGTGTGCGTGTGTGTGTGTATGTGTGCGCGCGTGTGATGGGAGGAGAGAGAAGGGATGCAGCCATCAGGTGGAAGGGCTTGCAGTGTGGTTGGGAGGTAAGTGATCTGAAAAAATGGCAGCCGTGCAAGGCAGTGTGTGCTAGTTTGAGAGGTTCCAGGAGAGCCTGCAGCACCGCTCCTTTGTAGTACTCCCCACCCCAGAATTACTTTATTGTCTGTGTAATGTGTGACTTGCCTGCCAGACAGTGAGCTCCCTGACGTAGGGACATGACTGCCCTGCTTTTTCTGTAGCCCCAGACGGGCCATTGAAAAGTGTTCATCAACTGACTGTTTGTGGGAGCAAGAGGGAAAGTGGGCTGAGGGTCAGGTGGTCAGGGAGGGCTTCCTGGAGGAAATGAAGTGTGAGCAAGGGCTAGAGTGTTTGGGAGGATTTCTTTTCATAATAAAGCTTTTTTTTTTTCATTGAAGAATAATGCAGTCTTTTAAGGAGATTTGGAAAACAGAAAAATACCACCCATGATTTATTAATCAAAGTACAATGTTTTAAAAACATTTTTGTGTATTTTATCCTAGACCTTTTTCCACTTAAAATAGAACTTACATTTAGAGAAGTACATAAACCAGTTCAGTGAATAATTATAAAGCAGACACTCACATGACCACCCGCCAGGTCCAAAAGCCCCTTGAATACGTGCCCACCCCCATCACAGCTCCTGCCCTCCTGCTGGGTGGCTGCTCTCCTAACTGGTGCGCAGTGGGATTTCCTGGCTTTTCTGTGTAGTTTCACTGTCTGAATGCAGCCTTGAACAGCATGGTGAGGGTCTCGCCTGTCTTTGAGCTTGGACGGGATCCTTTTGTGTATTATCTCCTTTCCATCACTGCTGTGTTTGTCCGTGTGGTCCCTGATGTTGGGTGAAGCTGTACTTCACTCATTCTTCTTGCTCATGAGATGACGCCCCGTGGTTATTTCTCCAAGTGCCTTCAGTGGGCCCTTGGGTTGCTTCCGGATTGGAGCTCTTGTGCAGAGTGCTGCCATGAACATTTGGGGACTTGTTTTCTCACCCACATGTGTACAGGTTTCCCTGGAGCACATGCCTGGGAGTGCAGCTGCCGAGTCTCAGGATGCCTGACCTCACCTCTCAAGTCCTGCCCAACTATTTTCCAAAGTTCTGCTTTCTGTTTTCACTCCATTCACCGCTTTTGAGAGTTCCTGTTGCTTTGCATTTTTGCTGACGTTTGCCTATTGGCATCTCTGTGTGTTTTGAATTTTCATTTCCCTGATGACTAGAGAGGTTGAAACAACTTCTCATAGGTTTAAAGGCTGTCTGGATTTCTTCTTTCAAAAAGTTCCTTGTTCAAGAGTTTTGCCTATTTTGGGCAAAATTGGGTTGTGTGATTTTGGGGTTTGGAGGCTTCTTAATGATCTTTTTTATATTTTTATATCCTTTGATGGATTTATGGATTCAAAACCTTTTCTCCCATTCCATGGCTTGTCTTTTCACTCTCTTTAAGGTGTTTTGTTGGTGAACAGGTGTTCTTAATGTGGTAGAATTTGTAAATGTGTTCCTGTGTATAGTTTGTGCTTTTTATGTCTCATTTAAGAACCTTCCTTACCCTCAGGCAGGAACCTAGTCTCCTGTGTTAGGTCAGAGAGCTCTTAGATCTGCCTTTCGTGTTTGGGTCTTTTATGAACCTGGAATTGATTTGTGTGCTGAGGAGATCCAACTTCACGTTTCCCACGTGAATAACCATTTCCCCAGCCTTGTCTGTCCAGAAGTCTGTCTTCTTGGCAGTGAGGCGGGGGTCTTTGCTCAGGTCTGTTTCTGGCTGTGTCCTGCTCCATTGACTGGGTGTCTGTGCCTGTGCACAGACTATTGAACCCTAACTCTACAGTGTTACACTAAGTCCTGACATCCAGGGCAGCAGGACCCCCCACACTGACCTTCCCTTCCAGAGTATCGTGGCTGTCCTGGGGGGCGCTGTAGACAGTGGGTAAGAGCATGCACCCGGTAGTTTCCTCTTCTAGAAAAAGGGGGTCATATACCACCTGCCTCCTGGGGTTTTCATGAGGAGTGAAAAAGTTAATATTTATAAAACTCTTGGCATATAAAGGCTATGTGAAGGTTAGTTGTTGCTACTTGTGCGTCCTTATAAATGGTAGGATCGGATTGCCAAATTCTATAGGAAATCAAGTGCTGGCGGGATTTTGGTTGAGATTTGTTTCAGGGAGATCCAACAGTGAGTCTGTGAGCTTACTTGGGGGAGAACTGACACTGAAAACACCGAGTCTTCCAATTAGAGAGCGTAGTGAGACATTCCATTTGTGTCGGGTTTCTCAGTACAGTCTTATAATTTTATCTAGAGACACCTTACATGTCTTCTTTTTATTCTTAGGTACTGCATATGTTTTGTGCTATTGTAAATGATACATTTTAAAGCATTTCATTTTCTAACTGTAGCTTGTATTTATAAATACCATTTATTTTAAAATTTTTAATTGAGTGTAAGTGGAATCACACCGTGTTTGTCTCTTTGGGACTGGCTCCGTTCACAGGGTCCTGAGCAGAGTGTCCTCGAGGTTCACCCATGTTGTACCGTGTAGCAGAATTTCCTTCCATTTTTAAGGCATATATACCACATTTTTTATCCATTCATCTGTTGGTGGACGCTTGGGTCATTCCCACCTATTGACTGTTGTGAGCAACTGCTGTGCACATGGGTGTGTACAAGTACCTGTTTGAGTTCAAGTTCCTGCTTTCAGTTCCCAGTGCCTCTTACAGAGAATTCTGACTGGTTCCGTTCGCTAATCTTTTGCTTAGGATTTTGCATCCATGTTCATGAGTGAGCTTGGTTTCATTAATTCCATATACCTTTCCTTATCCTATCTATAATTGACTTTCCATAGTTTAAATCTATCTTGTTTTTTAAGTCTTATGAGACATTATTGTTGGTTTTTGCAGTTGATTTAGATTTTATCTAGCAGTGTACTGGTAAACCAGATCTCTGGGTTGGGGGGAAGCTCTGACTTATAGTCTTTGGCAATTCTCGTGGCATAAATACTCCCACCATGGCCGATTTCAAGCCACCAACAATTTGACAAATCTGAAGGAGGCTTAGTTTGTGGTTATTACTTTTCAGGGCTTTTTTTTCTCCCTCCTTCGTCCAGCGCCAGGGCAACTTTCCTCATAACCTGCAGGAGTGGGAAAAGGGCAGGTTTATTTCTGGTTTACCTTTTCCAAGAGCATAGTCTTGTGGGGTCCCAACCTAATATAGGGAGGGTCTCTCATTAGCCCCCTAACCCTTGGTGGGCCCTGGGGCTACGTCTCTGTCCCTCTGGCCCCATGAGGGCATCAATACTGATGTTTAAATGTACTGAGTTTGGTTTCTGCCTTCAGGTCAAAGCTGGGTCTGTGCTCCACCTACCTCTGGGTTCTTGCTTTTTCTCAGAATTTACCCTGGCATTCATTCCTTTTCTATTTTGTCAGACCTATGCTTTTAAGTAGATTTTTTTTTTAATTATTTTTTCCAGCTTTTAACTTTTTGTTCAGTGGAAAGATTGTTCAAATTATCTTTCCACAGTAGTCCCAGAAATGGAAAACTAATATTTTTTCCTGTGCAGAGTTTTTTGTTCCCTTTCCTTTATATCTGTCTTTACAGTATAACAAATACATTTCTGTGTTACTCTGAACTCCTTGCCAACACAGCTCTGAAGTCTGGGAGGACTTCATTGGGCACTCACGCGCTTCTGTCCCTGTTTGGATTGGTTCCTTTTTCATTATAATAAATTACACTGAGACGAAGGGCCTTACACCAGAAGCCTTCCCTGTGACTGAGGTTATTCCTTTAGGATGGATTTCCTAAAATGGAACTCCCAGATCAGAGAGCCGGGACATGGATAAAAGCCTTCATACATACTCATTTCCAAGGGGCCTGTGCCACTCCATACACCCCGCAGAATTTAAAGACATCTGAGTCTCTCAAGACAAGTAGGAGTCTTCTTTCCTAGGTTACAGACTCACATGGTAGATAGAACATCGGAGAGGTATCAAAGGGGACATGGTGAGGTCTCCTCCTGGAGCTGCAGCCACCAAGCAGTCCCCTGCCCCAGGTGCCGCTCATGGGCCCCTTCAGAGTTACTCTCTGACCAAGCAAATAGATACACAGGTTTTGTTTTTATAGAAATGGTGGCATATTTCACACACTGAGCCTTGATTTTCTACCTGACCATAAATCTTGGTGCTCAGTGCCTAGCAGCACATAAAGTGCTTCTTGGTCCTTCTGCAGCGACAGACTCCACTGGGTGGGGGATCCATGGGCAGTGAACTGGCTCACAGATGGACAGTCCAGTTATTGCCAGTCTTGTGCTTTAACAAATGATGCTGCTCTTAATAGTCCCATGTGTGCCCATCTCCACACGTGTGAGGGCATCTTAGGATGAGTCCCCAGGGGTGGATTGCCAGGGGTGGGTGGGTCAGTGACTTCAGCTGTCCCGGTCCTTGTCTCTCTCCAGGGTGATGCTGACAGGGACTCTGTGTGACCGGCAGCCGGCGGAACTCCATCTCTTCCGGAATTACGAGGCCCCGGAGTGTGTACGGGAGCCTCGTTTCAGCCAGAATATGAACCTGAAGCCTCTAACTCAACCCTCAGGTTAAAACCATGTTTGATGCATCTGTGGGAAGTGATTGGCCCGTGAGGCTGCGAGGCAGTGGGTGGGAGTCACAGGCTTGTCACTGGGCACCCTTTCCAACTGTCTTTATCGGCTAAGGACAGGCAGAGCTGGGGAGCTGTCAGGCCTTGGGCAGGCTAGAGGGGGCCCCCGGAGGCCCTCAGCTGCACCCCATCTTCCACCAGGGTGGCAGGCCAGTCAGCACGGCATTGTTGGGCCTGTTCCTGAAGAGTCCAGCCTCTCCCTTTCCCTGCAGCCCCGCACACACACACCGAGATCTGAAGAGCTCAGGTTTTATTCCAGTCCTTTGTCCCACTGGGCCACCCTCCTCCCCTACCCCCAGAGCAGCTGGTGTGGCGGGCAGCCCGGAGCAGTGGGGCAGCCCCCACCTACTTCCGGCCTGATGGGCGCTTCCTGGATGGTGGGCTGCTGGCCAACAACCCCACGCTGGACGCCATGACCGAGATCCATGAGTACAACCAGGACATGATCCACAAGGTGAGAGCCATCTCAGGTGGGGGGGGTCAGACACGCCTGTCCATGGCAGTCCCCCCAGTTCAGCAAGTCTGAAGGATTGACTCCTAGGAGAGCAAATGGGTTTTACTCATGTGATCGCTGATTTGTGCTCTCAGCAGCAGTTTTGTCTCGCCCTTGAACCTGCTTGATCGGTGGTGTCTGCCTGAAGCACTGTGCTGAGACGGGTTCTGAGGCCCAGTCTGGACTAAGTGGTGCAGTGGCCTCTGGGCTTGGGTCCTGGCTCTGCCTGCCCTTCACTTCAGCCACTGAATGGGGTGGCTAACAGTGCCTGCTGGAGATTGTCAGGTTTCCATGTGCCCCTGTCTGTAAAGTGTTCAGCGCAGTGCCTGACCCCGAGTGTGCCATATCCTTGTGGCCGTGGTGCTCACTAAGCTCTGGTGCAGCCCCTGGGCGGAAGGGCAGGGGCTCTGCCTTCAGAGAGGTGAGCGCCCTCTAGCGGCCGGATCCAGCAGGGCGGGCTTCCTGGAGGGAGGAGGCTGTGGGGCCAGGAAGGGTCCTCCGCCATCCTCCGTCCAAGCCCCTCCGATTGTGGAGTGACGCCAAGGTCCCCAGCAGGTGGGCAGCAGGGCTTGTTCCGAAGCAAAGAAGCAGGCAGTGCGGGCTGTGCTCCTGCCGCAGGCGCCCGTCTACCTCCTCACGCTCCCTCAGGGCCCCCCCATCTCTCACACCCCTGCCAAATGTCCATGGGGGGAAGGTCTCCTCTGATTACCCCCATCCTGTCCCCAACAGGGTCAGGGCAGCAAGGTGAAGAAACTCTCCGTCGTCGTCTCTCTGGGGACAGGGAAGTCCCCACAGGTACCTGTGACCTGTGTGGACGTCTTCCGCCCCAGCAACCCCTGGGAACTGGCTAAGACTGTTTTTGGGGCCAAGGAGCTGGGCAAAATGGTGGTGGACTGTGTGAGTATGGGCCCCTCCCCAGGCCCACTTCCTTTGGGGCCTCAGCCCCAGGATGATGCCCCCACCCTTTTCTGTGGTACCCTGGGTGTCAGGGAGGCTCTGTTGACCCTCTTCAACCGGTTCAGGCGAAGGAGTGTCCCTGATTCAGAGTCTCAGTGCTGGCGGGGACCCTCAGGGACCACCTACAGGGGGTTTTCAAGTATCTTTTAGCTGTGGATCCCTCCCTTCAAACAGCCCCGTGTGGAAGCCCAGAATGTCAGATGGACATAAGCTGCCGGGGCGGGACGCGAAGGCCTGTCCACTCAGCCCTGCCCGCCCCCATCACCCTCACTGACCCTGAATGGGTGCTGCTGAGCCACCTGTGAAAACCACAGACTGCGCCCCTCTGATTGCACAGCTGGGGCAGTCACTGCAGCCCCGGGGAGGGACTTGCCCAGAGTCACCCTGCTGACAGGTGGCTAGGCCAGACTGGAACCTGGGGTTCCTGGGCAGGGACTGTGGGTGTGGTTGTGCTGGGTGCTCACAGAGGCTACTTCTCACCAGTGCACGGATCCAGATGGGCGAGCCGTGGACCGGGCCCGGGCCTGGTGTGAGATGGTCGGCATCCAGTACTTCAGGTGAGGGCTCAGCCGGCCCTGGCCTCGGCCCCCAGCCCCAGTCCCTGGCCTGGCCAGACCTGGCGACCTTCCCTAACCCAGTTCTTGGCAGGGACTTTCCCTTTCCCAAGTCCTAGCTCTTGTCCCCCACCCAGGCCAAGAGCTGTAGGGTGACCCCTCCTCCTTGCCTTGGGCAGATTGAACCCCCAGCTGGGGACAGACATCATGCTGGATGAAGTCAGCGACACAGTGCTGGTCAACGCCCTCTGGGAGACTGAGGTCTACATTTACGAGCACCGGGAGCAGTTCCAGAAGCTCGTCCAGCTGCTGCTGTCACAGTAGGGCCCCCAGGCCCTCAGCTATCACTACCCACCCCAACCCCCAACCCTGCTGGGGAGGCAGCTGAGGCCCAAGCATTGTACGACCGAGCAGAGCTGGGCCAAGGCTGATCTTTCCACAGAGTGGGCTTCAGAGGGTGTTGGGCTTCTAACCTGAGCCTGGTCCTGAAGGCCTCTCTCCCCCTGTCCCTGCCTTCTGGCACTTTTTGTCACCCAGGCTTAGAAAGCCTAGAGCCTCACTGTGGCCCTCTCCCTGATCCTAAGGACGACTGACTCTCAGGCCCCTCACCCTGTTGGTTCGCACACTAAGGGCACCCAGCTGTGCCCCAACCCCAGGCTCCGTCAAGTCCCCTGGGGGTGCAGCTGCCCCATCTGCCCTCTGCCCTCTCCCCTGGGCGTGGGGCTAGAGAAGCTACAGAAACTGGCCGTCACCCACCCGGTTGGCAAGGGAAGCCCACGCTCAAGAGTAGGCTGTTCCATTCAACTTTGTACCTCGATACACGCCCAGCCACCTGCACCCCTCAGAACTGCTGCACCCTGAGGCTGTCCCAGCTCCCAACGGTCTGTCCTCTGACTTCTACTGACAGAAAGTGATTTATGAGTGGGCGGGGCTGCCCCAAACTGTGAAATAAACGGTTCAATTCCAGTTGCCCTGCGTTGTGTGCACTGTGGTGTGAGTGCACCCTGTCCCCCATCAGCTCCCCCCAGGCTTGGCCTTCAGCCTGACCATTCATCCTGCGCCCATTCACACGGCTGCTCTGTCTCCCAGCTCCCTGGGGCGGGGGCACCTCTTCTTTCCTCCAGGCCTCCCCAAATGAGGCTGGTGAGGGGTTCAGAGGTGGCAGCTAGTCCGTCTGCCCCATGGTGGGAGGCCGGGGAGAGATCCATTTTCCGGGGGAGGGAATGAGATCCAGAGAGGGCAGGGGGCTCGGGCTGGACACGGAGAGTGAACAGGGCCAAGGTTTACCCCCAGGTAGGTCTGTGTGACATCAGAATTGGTGCTGTCCCCTTTCCAGCATGGGGAGGAGCTGTGCGGCCAGCAGCGCGTATGGGGCCTGGGCCCTCGAGGTGCAGGTGTGACAGGCTCAGGGTGGAACAGAAACCCTGACAAAAGTGATGACCCCTGACCCCCGACCCCCGGGTGTGTTCCACCTCCAGGGAGTCATCAGGGAGGGTCCTGGAGGCAGGCAGTGAGCAGTGCAAGCCCAGTCGGGTGGGAAGTGCCCAGTGTAGGCAGATGGAAGGCTGGGGCCCACCCAAAGCCAGGGACCCCGGCTGGCCTGGTGAAGCCTTATCCTCGAGGTGGAGGTGACCTAGGAGAGTGGCTCATCCACGCGTGCCCACCGGCCGCGGCTCGGGTAAATAATTGAAGGGCAGGTCACACGAACCCGCCCGCGTCACAGGATGCCGTCCCCGCCGGGTCTGGTTACGCCCCAGATCGCATTCTGACATCCCCGGCTGGTGAATAATTAAGCTGCCACCTCCTCCTTGGCGGGCCCTCCATCTGCAGGTCCTACTCTTCAGTCTCCTTCACCACCCGCTGAGCAGTGGGCACCACCGACCCCAGTGCCCCCAACCCCGCAAGCACACCAGCCTCTGCTCAGCACCTGGGTGTAGCCGCCCCATGGCCCCCGAGATGGACCAGTTCTACAGGTCCACCATGGCCATCTACAAGGTGAGCGCGCGCGTGCAGCCAGGCCCAGGCCCGAGCACACGTCCTAGGGCACAAAGGTTGGGCAGCTCTGGAGGAGGGGGTGAGCAAGGCTGCGGCATGTTCTGGCAAGGACGGTGTGGGGCCAGGCCGGGCTGAGCTGTGGGCATGGGGTGAGGGTCTCTGGGGGAAGTCAGTCACCCCAGCCCCAACTGGAGGCTCCCAGGGAGAGATTTGTCCACAGCCACCCCGTGAGCGACAGGCCTGCTGAGACGGTACTCTCAGCAGCAGCCTCCAGCTCCCAAACACCGGGCAAGGCAGGACAGGGCCCAGCGCCGCTGCAGCTGGGAGCAACGGCCCAAAGAGCCACTGAGCCTGGGAGTGGGGAGTTTCTCTCTGTCTCACTCTCGTTTCTGAGCCCCTCGCTCAAACTTCCTACTTCACTGCAGAGGGGTTGCTGCAGTCTCCAAAGACATTGATTGAGCACCTCCTGTGTGTGCAGGACCCTTTCACATGTAAGGCTCACCACGTCCCACCTGTGGGGTAAAAAATAATCACACCATTTGATAGATGAGAAAACTGAGGCCGGAGAGGTTAAACAGCTTGTTCAAGGTCACCAGGGAAAGCAGAGGGGCTGCAGGGATTTGAACCAAGACCCAAGTCCAAGTCCAAGCCCAGAGTCATCTCCTGGCCTTGCTCCTAGAGTGCTCTCCCACTGGCCATGGCTTGGGGTGGCCTTGCTCCCAGAGGGCTCTTCTTTGAGGGGGGGCAAGATCTGCCCTTGTCTCTGAGGTAACTGTGGGCAGTCTCTTTGTCCAGTCCAACAAGGCCTGGACTCAGGCCTGGGTTGAACTGTGCCAGCTGGGGACTGTGACAGACCGGCTGGCTTCAACCCAGTGGGAGGAAGAGGAGGACCCTCCAGGTGCATTATCTTGGGAGGAAGGTCCCACCAGGGTAGGTGTGCGAGCAGGAGCTGGCCTAGGGGTCCCTGGCCTTGAACAGGGCCACAAGAAATGTCCTCTGAGGCCCATGCAGGATTCTAGGTGACCCCAGGTTTCTAGGTGGCACCCCCAGATTTTGGGGGATTCTCATTGGGGCCAGAGGTGCCCCGCTTCTGAGGCCCAGTGATGCCTCTGCCCATCATTCCTTCTTCCTCTCCCTTGGGGTCCAGAGCATCCTGGAGCAGTTTAACCCGGCCCTGGAGAACCTGGTGTACCTGGGAAACAACTACCTGCGGGCCTTCCATGGTGAGTGCCAGCCACGCTGCCCCCGTTCATGCCACAGACACCTGCACCCTGCCCAGGTTCTCCGCACCCCACACCAGGCAGCCATGCACCGTTTTTCAGCAACACCCCTCCACCAGGGCTGTCAACAGATGGTCACAAGTCACCTATAGGATGGATAGGCCAGGGACACACCTGGAACCAAGTGCCACCCAACCCTTCCCTGCCTTTTAGTTCTTCAGAATCAAAGTGTGTTTCCTCAACTCCAGCGACCTGAGCCCACCCCTCACCGCCCCACCCCATGCCCCTATGCCTGTGCCTGCCACTCCTTACGGACACACGCAGATACCCTACCCGACAGGCCACACCAAGGTCCTGAACAGCACCAGGCCCTGCCCATAGGGACAACCCACCCCATGATACCCCCTTACCTCTGGCCTGTGCCACATCACACATGCCCTCAGGACACCCCCTCCCTCTCAGGCAGCTATGCAAGATCCCACATTGTCCCCTGCACATGCTCTCTCTGATGGAAGGAGGGGTCTCCAGAAGGTGGGGGTGGCTGGAGGAGGGGGCTGAGCTGACCCACTCCTTCCACACAGCCCTGTCGGAGGCGGCCGAGGTGTACTTCAGCGCCATCCAGAAGATCGGGGAACAGGCCCTGCAGAGCTCCACCTCCCAGATTCTGGGTAAGGCGCTCCTCCTTCCACACACACTTCTTTGGGGCGTGGGGGGCACTCCTTCTAGCCGCCTCTGCCTCCTCCTGCTGTTCAGGCTCCAGGCACTCTGCCTGCTTCCGGTGCCTCCACTCAGGCCCAGTGCCTGCCTTGCCCCTCATTCCCCATCCCAGAGGGGCCTCCTTTTATAGTCTTGCCCTTCCAGGAAGTCTCCCAACAACAAAGGTCTTGCAGCCCAGGGCCCAGAGCCCAGACTCTCCTTCTGGAGCCCAAGCCCCTCCCCACCACTCCCTACAGGGCTGGGCAGGTGCTGCCCAGTCCCAGAGCCACGTGGGAAATCCAGGACTTTGGTCCTGAAATCCAGCCTCAGGCAGGCCCCTATGGAAGCTTCTGGTGGGCAGAAGTTGGGGGGGGAGGGTCCCCTCACGGAAACCATTGTTCTTTGGGCCCCTAGGTGAGATCTTAGTGCAGATGTCAGACACCCAGCGACACCTGAACTCTGACCTGGAGGTGGTGGTGAGTATTGGCCTGGGGGGTTCAGCCTCCTACATCCCTTCTCAGGGAGGACTTCCTGCGGCCCTAGCGTCACACCAGCCAGACCAGGCTCTGGCGGGCGCACTGACCTGCAATGTCTTGCTTGAGCGTCCAGCCACCTGGGAGGCAGGTGCCATTTCTGTGTCTACTTTGCAGAGGAGAAAACTGAGTCTCAGAGATGTAGCCACTCTCCCAAGATTACAGCGTGAGTGGGGGAGCCAGGAGAGAGAGGGCAGTTGCCGGGGTGCCCCCCCCCACTCCAGTCCTGCCCTTTGCTCTCCGGGGAGCAGGCAGTGAGTGGTTTGACCTTGTCCCACCCATGAGAAAAACCCTCCCACACCCTGCCGCCCACAGAACTGAACCTGGGCTTCTCAGGGAGGGTGTGCAGGCCCTGCTGGCCTGGCAGCACCCTGGTGGCACCCCCAGTCACAGCCCAGCCACCCTGAAGTGCACCTCCCACAGCCTAGCCTTCCCCTGCTGGGCTGCTGCCATGCTGTCTTCTCAGCCAGAAGCCCCCACCCCTGCCATCCAGCAGTTGGCCCCTCCTCCATGAATTCCCCCTGACTTCTGGGCAGTTCAGTCCCTCTGCCCTCTGGACTCCAACAGATACTCCCATCTGCTTTTAGCACATGGCACTTAAGAAAGTGAACTCTGCAGCCAGAGCAGCTGCGTTTAAAGCCCCGCTTCACCAGTTACTGGCTTTGTGACCTTGGGTGAGCTACGTAACCTCTCTGTGCCTCAGTTTACCTGTCTGGGAAATGGAGACAATCACAGTAACCCATGTAGGGTTCTTATGAGGATTCAGTGGGATGAGCACGCACACACCCCTCGCCCTGGCCCCGGGCCCTTCGTGGATCTGAGCTGTGATGTATAGAAGGGAAATTTACTGCCCTGCCTCTGTCCCTGCGAAGACTGGGGCTCTGCTGGGACATGGTCTTCTCTATAGCTCCAGGGCCTGGCATGGGGACTGGCACTGAGCAGAGCTTCTCTGACTGGGAGGAAAGAATGAGCTTTGAAGAGCCCCTGACATGGGGCTTGGCCAGAGGGAGAGAAGGGAGGGTATCCCGGGAGGTTGCAGTGGCCGAGCATGGGCATGAGTGTGGCATCCATTGGGCAGATGTGAGGCAGAGATCGGAGCTGGGGCAAAGGGGAGAGGGGGAAGTGTTGAGGGCCCTCGGAAGGCTCTGAAGGAAATTTCCACTAATTATGACAGTCCATGGTTCTCAGGCGTGTGTGGGGGAAACCCTAACCCTCAGGGTGCTCTTTGGGGGACACCATTAAATACTCATCAGTTTGGTTACTGCGGTGAAATGGGGAACAGGTTTACCAGTGGAAACTGTGTGTCTTCCTACACACGATCAAAGCACCCCTTGGGCCCGGCTCCCCAACACTCTGAGGTGGATGGAGCAATAAGCATGGGCCTCCTCCTGGGGCTTGGGCGGGGTTATGGAGCCCGGCTCCCACTGGCAGCTGGGACCTCCTGTCCTTGTGTTTGCCGGCTCTCCATGTCACTTGTGGCACCCCTGGGCTGGACAGGGACAAGTGTCACCCAGGCCCACTCTGTAAAAAGAGCTGCCATCTCTGGGCACTGGTGTCTTGGCTGTGACAACAGGGCAGGGCCCTCAGCCAGGACCGTACTGGGCAGGACACACCAGAGGCCGTCTCCACCGCTGGCTCATGCACTGGACAACTGTTTACTGCCTCGTGCCCAGCACCGGTGTAGGCACTGGGGGTCCAGCAGGCAAAATGCTACCCTGTCCAAGGGTGGGGCCTGACCACACCCGAGACGGGTGGGTGGGGGCGCATGTGAGCCGCGCAGCACGTTTCTTCGCGTCCTGCTCCGTTCGCTCAGCTGAGGTCTGTGAGCGTCACTCTTGCTCCCGCGGGGTGGGTGCTTTGCTGTGTTTGTTGCTGCGTGCTCCACTGCACAGAGACACGATTTCCGCTTCTCTTCTCCTGTTGACAGTCATTGGAGGGTGGTTAGGAATAGGGCTGCTGTGACCATCCTTGTACGAGTCTTTCTGGGGACACACGCTTTCATTTCTCTTGGGTAAATACCCGGGAGTGGAAGTTATGGGCAGTGTTGATATAAGCGTAGCTTCATAAGGAACTGCCCGAGAGCCCTCCAGAGCTCGGGCTGTTCCGCACTCCGGCCGGCGCGTCGGCGAGCGGCTGTGGCTGCGTCCTTGCCTGCGTCCCCGTCAGCCCCCTGGGTGCTAGCCGTTCTCCTGGGCGTGGAGTGGTGCACCTTGCTGGGGTTGTATTTTCTGTGTCCTGATGACTAATGACTTGTAATGGGCTTATTGCACATTTGCAAATCTTCCCTCCTGAGGTGTTTGTTTAGTCCTTTGATCATTTTTTGGGGGGGTTGCCATTATTGGTGACTTTTAGGAGTTTTTTTAATACAGTCAAGACATCGGTCCTTTGTCAGATATATGCCCGGTGAATGTTTTTCCCAGTCTGTAGCTTGTCTGTTCATTTTTCTTAATGGTGTCTTTGATGACCAGAAGTTTAAAATTTTTATAAAGCCCAATTTGGTAATTTTAAAAAATGGGTTGTGCTTGTGTCCTGCCCAAGAAACCTTCACCTGCCCCCTTCACAAAGATAGTCTCCTAAGTTTTCTCGTAGAAGCTCTATGTTCTGGGCTTTCCACTTATTTCTGTGATCCATCTCAAATGTATTTTTGTGTATGAAGTGAGAGGGAGTCAGGGACAGATATTTGCTTGTTCCAGAATCATTTTAAAAAGACTTCCCTTTCCCTATTCAATTGACTTGGTATCTTGGTCAAGAATTGATTTGTCCTATATGTGTAGGTCTATTTCTGACCTCTGTACTCCAGCGATTTTCAACTGGTGCACCACAAGAATTGTTAAAACATGCAGCACCTGGCTATTTTGGGGGCACTGACCTCTTTTCCCTTAGGTTGTCAAATTTATTTATTTATTTATTTATTTACTTATTTTAAAATATATCTTTATTAATTTCAGAGAGAGGAAGGGAGAGGGAGAGAGAGAGATAGAAACATCAGTGATGAGAGAGTCATTGATCAAATTTAAAAAATGACAACAGCTGCCCAGCCGGGCGTGGCTCAGCGGTTGAGTGTCCAGGCAATCAGGGTTCGAGCCCCGATCAGGGCACATGCCTGGGTTGCAGGCTCGATCCCCAGTCAGGGGCATGCAGGAGGCAGCCGATCAATGACTCTCTCATCATTGATGTTCCTATCTCTCTCTCTCTCCCTCTCCCTTCCTCTCTCTGAAATCAATAAAGATATATTTAAAAAATAAAATAAAATAAATAAATAAATAAATAAAAATAAATAAAAAATGACAACAGCCAACCCAACAATAGCCATTTAGTGTGAATGAATAAATATTATACCTATTTTTTGTCAGATCGGCAAAAAATATATTTTTGGCATGCAGCAGAATTTTAGTAATTAGTTTATGTGCCATGAGGTGGAAAAGGTTGAAAATCACTGCTCTGCTCCGATCCATCGGTATCTCTGTCTATCCTTATACCAGTACCATGTTGTATTAATCACTGTAACTTTATGGTAAGTCTTGAAGTCAGATAGTCTAAGAATCTTGTTCTTTTTCAAAATTATCTAGTCTGTTCAAGATCCTTTGCGTTTCCATATAAGTTAGAGAATCAGCTTGTCAATTTCTCTAAGAAAGCCTGCTGGGATTTTGATCGAGATTTCATTAATCTATAAATAGTAGTCATCTTAATAATATCAGGCCTTTTGATCAGTGAACATGGTATACCTCTCTATGTATTTACTTCTCATAGGAATGTTTTGTCATTTTCAGTGTAGCAGTCTTGCACGTCTTTTGATAGATTTATTTCTAGGTATTTGATATTTTTGAAACCATTTGTAAATGGCATTTTAATACCCCATTTTCCACTTGCTCATCGTTTGACATATTTTAGTAGGATCGCTCTGGCTCCTGTATTGAGAATAAAATAGCAGTAGAAGGCAAAAGCAGAAGCGGGAAGACCAGTCAGCCGGCTACTGCGTAACCCAGGGGAGGGGTGCCGCTCTCGGGAAAGGTGCCGCAGTGGTGGTGTTGAGAAGAGACCAGATTCAATGTAGAACCAGTAAGATTTCCTGATGGGTTGGATGCCTGTTGCAAAAGGAAGAGGAAAGTCTAGGTGACTCCACGGTTTTAACCTGACCGACTGGACAGGTGGAGTTGCCATTAGCCGAGGCGGAAAGACCGAATGTGGAGCCTTTCGAATGGAAGGGCCAGCCCAGCGTTAAAAGAAGAGGGAGATGAGGGGGAATCGGCAAAG